ATAAAGAGAGGGAGAGAAACATCGATGTGAGAGGGAAACATAGACTGGTTGCCTCTTGTACACCCCCTACCAGGGACTGAACCTGCAACCCAGGTAATATGCCCTGACTGGGAATCAAACTGATGACCTTTCTCTTTGCGGGACAACATTCAACTAACTGAGCAATACCAGTCAGGGCAAGACATCTTGTTTTCATTTTATTTTATTATCAAATATGGCAAAAATGCTTCAAGATAAGTATATTGATTTTTGAAGTTCATGTTTGTATTATTATTTTTTTAACTTTATTAAGGTACAATTTGCATACAATAAACTTCACCTATTTAAAGTGTACAATCCAATAAGTTTTGACAAGGTTGTGTAACACATGAAACCACCACCATCAACATACATGAACATCTCCACTGTCCCCATGTTTCCTCAGGTCCCACTTTTATTCCTTGCTTTCTGCACATTCAGCCCCAGAAAACTACTGGCCAGCTTTGTCCCAGTACAGATTAATTTGCTTCTAGAATTTTATGTCTGGTTTCTGTTGTGCCTGGCTCTCACATGACACAATCCATTTGAGATTCATCCATGTAGTTGCATGTATCAGTAGTTCCTTTTTATTGCTGAGTAGTATAGCACATTTCATTTAGCCATTCACTATTTGATGGACATTTGGGTTCTCATTTTTTCTCTCTTATGAATAAAGCTCTGTGGACATCCATATACATGTGTTTGTGTGGATGTACTGTTTTAATTTCTTTTGGGTAAAGAGGAATGAAATGTCCAAGTTGTATGGCAGGTGTAGTTTAATTCTAAGAAACTGCCAGTATTGCAAAGAGGTTGTGTTGTTTTATGTTCTTTCACCACTAAAAGTTCTGATTGCTCCAAATCCTTACAACTCTTGGTGTTCTCAATCTAATTTTCAGTTATAACAGATGTATAAAGATGTCTAGTTATGCTTTTAATTTACATTTCTCTGATGATTAATGATGTCTCTGTGGTTATTGGCCATTTGTATTTCTTTCCTTGTAAAGTTATTTGTTCAAATTTGTTGCCTACTTTTTTTTTACTTGGGCTGTCTTTAGTTTTTTACTTTTTTATTATTATTTTTTGTTAGGTTGTCTTTTTTAAATTATATTTTATTTATTGTGCTATCACAGTTTTCTCATTTTTCCTTCTTAATCCCCCCACACTTAGCAAACCCGCTCCCTCAGGCAATCCCTACACCATAGTTCATGTCCATGAGTCATGCATCTTAAGTTCTGTACTCCATATCCTATATTGTACTTTATGTCCCCATGGCTATTCTGTAACTACATATTTGTACTTCTTTTTTTAAATATATTTTATTGATATGCTATTACACTTGTCCCATTTTCCCTACTTCATTCCCCTCCACCCTGCACACCCTCTTTCACCCACATTCCCTCTTTTAGTTCATGTCCATGTATCATAAGTTCTTTAGCTTCTACATTTTCCATATTATTCTTACCCTCCCCCTATTTTCTACCTACCATCTATGCTATTTACTCTCTGTACCTTTTCCCCCATCTCTCTCTCTCCCACTCCCCTGTTGCTAACCCTCCATGTGATCTCCATTTCTGTGGTTATGTTCCTGTTCTAGTTGTTTGCTTAGTTTGTTTTTATTTTTCTTTTAGGTGTGGTTGTTAATAATTGTGAGTTTGCTGTCATTTTACTATACATGTTTTTTATGTTCTTTTTCTTAGATAAGTCCCTTTAACATTTCATATAATAAGGGCTTGGTGATGATGAACTCTTTTAACTTGACCTTACCTGAGAAGCACTTTATCTGCCCTTCCATTCTAAATGAAAGCTTTGCTGGATAGAGCAATCTTGGATGTAGGTCCTTGCCTTTCATGACTTGGAATACTTCTTTCCAGTCCCTTCTTGCCTATAAGGTCTCTTGAGAAATCAGCTGACAGTCTGATGGGAACTGCTTTGTAGATGACTGTTTCCTTATCTCTTGCTGCTTCTAGGATTCTCTACATTTTAATCTTGGGTAATATAATTATGATGTGCCTTGGTGTGTTCCTTCTTGGGTCCAACTTCTTTCGGACTCTCCAAGCTTCTTGGACTTCCTGGAAGTCCATTTCCTTTTCCAGAATGGGGAAGTTCTCCTTTATTATTTGTTCAAATAACTTTTTCACTTGTTGTGCTTCCTCTTCCCCTTCTGGTACCCCTATAATTCAGATGTTGGAATGTTTAAGGATGTCCTGGAGTTTCCTAAGCCTCTCCTCATTTTTTTGAATTTTTGTTTCTTCATTCTTTTCTGGTTGGATGTTTCTTTCTTCCTTCTGGTCCACACCGTTGATCTGACTTCCAGTTTCCTTCCCATCACTATTGGTTTCCTGTACATTTTCCTTTATTTCACTTAGTGTAGCCTTCATTTGTTCATCTAGTTTGTGACCAAATTCAACCAAGTCTGTGAGCATCCTGATCACCAGTGCTTTGAACTGTGCATCTGATAGGTTGGCTATCTCTTCATCGTTTAGTGGTATTTCTTCTGGAGCTTTGATCTGTTCTTCTGTTTGGGCCATTTTTTTTTTTTGTCTTTCATGCCTGTTATGTAGTAAGGGGTGGAGCCTTAGGTATTCACCAGGGTGGGTCAACCCAGTCACTGGTGATACTGTATGTGGGGCAGGGATCTGAGAGGGAACAATAGTCCTTGCTCTCCTCTCTGTTGCATTTCAGTCCCTTCTGCCACTTCCCCTGAGCAAACTGGGCCCTTCTGGTGCTGATTCCCATGTGGGTGGGATTGTGTACATTCTAGGACCCTGTGGGTCTCTCCAACAAACTCTCCTGTGAAGCTGTAAGTGTCTCCTGGCACCTCAACCCCTACAGGTGTTTTCAATCAATGTTTTGAGGCTTTATTTATCTGTGCTGGACCCCTGGGTTGTGTGGTCTGTCTCAATCCCCAGTTTTGCCAGGTTTATCTGTCTGGATGAATGTGTCTATTTTAATTCCTTGGTTGTTGGACTTCCATACAGTTCAATTTTCTGTCCGTTCTGGTTGATATTTTGTTTCTACATTTTTGTTGTCCTTATTTTGGTTGTGTGAGGAGGCACAGTGTGTCTACCTATGCCTCCATCTTAGCTACACTTTTGTATTATTTTTAATATAATCTTTATTATATACTTTTTCCATTACCTGTTTATTCCCTTATAACCCGCTCACCCCAGCAACCACTGTTGTTCATGTCCATGAGTCCTTTTTCCTTTTTTATTATTTATGTGAGCCTAATTAAGGGCAGACAGGTATTCCCCTGCTTCCTTTTTGCCATCCTTAACCCCCCTTTCCTGAGAAATAAAGCATGGTTGCTACTTTAGTTTTGCAGTTTTTCTTCTTGATCAGTTATCTTAGTCTGTAAGCCCAAATTAGCATTATCAGAATTTTGGAAAATTTTACTTTGCAGCAGCTGAAGCAGATGGTTGCTGGATGAATTCTTCCTTATTAATTGCTGGATATTCTTGTCTTTAATTGGACACCTTTTTCTGTTAGATTCAGGAATGTGACTTTTCTTCAACGTAGCTGTTTCTATTCAAAATGGCTAAACCAGAGCCAGCAAAATTATAGCCAGCTGTATGGATATGAATAGGCTTGAAGTACAAAAGAATAATCAAGCTTCTGGGAAGTGTTGTGTCCCAAGGTGGAAGACATTATTTTATAGTTCAAACTCATTTATAATAAATACATTATCTCTACAGGTTAACAAATAATAACCTTTCACAATACTCAGATCCTTGCAAGTGTCCCAGTGGACTGTAGAAATGTGCACCCTGTGGAAGAGTCTCTCAGTATTCTCTTCTCTTGTGAGTCCACTGTGTATTGCTTGGAATGACTTTTGTGAAGGCCAAACTAAAGCCTTCTGTTTTTACATGCTGGAAGAAAAATACCTCTGGGCTTTTAGATCTCCAAGTACATTCCCTAAATGTGTGCTACATGCATGCTAAATTGTGTGCTAAATGTACACAAAATAACCTTCCGGGTACTTCAAAGTTTCTGCTGCACCACTGACCATGAGGTGAAGAACATTCATGCTCTGTGCATGTACTCTCTGCTCCTCTTACTTCTCTGCAGGGAGGATCTGGGCCCTTCCCCCCCACCCCCATACACACTGGGGGAGCCCACCTTGTGGCATTGTGTGTGACACCATGCCTTGGTCTGCTTGAATTAGTTGAAAGTGGTCATCAGAGGATTCTCTGTGCCATGAAATTCCCTTCTAGATATGAATTTGGCCCAAATCTGTTCAACAACAGATCTCGTAGATCCATCCTCTAAAACATTTCCTTATGGCTCAATGGCCAATTCTGATTCACTGGCAGCACTTGTAAATTGACAGCATCATTGATCCACTTCCTATTCTTCTTTTTGACATCAGATTATTCAAAGAACCTTTCTTTTCTTGAGGTTAATTCAGTAAAAATAATGGATAAGCTACTGCTTCCACCACTTTAAATATGATGTTGATCTCTGTGCCCTTCTTCCCCACAGAGAACTCTCAGATATGGCAGCTGAATAGAAACTCCAACTTGTAGTTGGGTCACATGAACATGTTCTAGCTAAACAGTGTGACACCTTCAATTTTAGTTTGTTGTACAACCGCCAGCACCTTACTTGGAATAATAGGTTGGCCAAAAAGTCCATTTAGTTTTTTCCATAAAATAAAAGACACATTTTTCATTTTTGCCAATAACTTTATTGATTTGGATATTTTGAGTATGTCGGCTATCTCCTACTATTGACTTCTAGTGTGTAGAGGCCAGGGATGCTGCTAAACATCTTCCAATTCATAAGATACCCCCACAGCAAACAATTATTTGATTGAAATGTCAATAGTACCAAGAAACTTCTTAAACCACTTTTGACATGTTTGATCAATCATAGCACCTTCTCCATATACTGCACAAATCTTTTTTTGTGTTTGAGTTTTTACCTTTCTCTTTTTTAATAGAAAAAAAAATTAATTACATACACCCAAGTACTTTATGACCAAAAATATGGAAAGTTTCACAAATTTTCATGTCATCCTTGTACAGGGGCCACGCTAGTCTTCTTTGTATCATTTCAATTTTAGTATGTGCTGCTGAAGCAAGCATGAATTTTTACCTTTCTTGAAATAATAAAGCATAATATCCCAAAATTGTTGCATATCTTCTTCCCTCTTCAATACTAGAAAGGCTGCACAAAAATTCACCAATTTTGATAATTTAAAAAAAATGCATACTTATATGACAGTGGTCACAATACAGCCTAACAAAATTGTTTCAAATGAAGTTAAAGACAGCTAAGCACTAGTAGTGTTTTTTCCATCTTATGGAAAAAATAAAATGATTTTTTTTGTCAACACAATACCTTCATGCAATCTGTTTTAACTGCATTCTTATTTACAGTTTTTGGTCGTATAATATTGACAATCTAATTTATCTTTGACCTTTCATACTCTTTTATGTCACCCTTTTTCTAAGATGGCAAGATCTTCAGATTGCCTTAAGTGAAGTCTTGGCTTCAAAGGCTACTTCTCACAAGGATCCTGATGAAATCTCTCTTTAACTGACTTCATTAAATGAGTCTCTGTTATATGACCTCATTGGACTAAATACACCTCTTAGGTAGAAGAAGACAGCAGCTCCATTTTGATAAAAAGGTTTAACAAAGTAATTTAATTGCTGGCTCAAATGACCCAAGCTTAGCATAGGTACATAGATCAACCACTCTAGAACTAGGAGGAGAAGGAGGAGGGGGAGGAGGAGAGAAAGAATTTGTTTGTGACTTCCAAAGAGAAAGATGGTTCTCAGGGCAATCCTTTTAGAACCTGGAATTCTGTTGGAACATTCTGTTGGTTCATGCACTATGAATGTAGTGATATTATTGAATGCATAAAAAGCATATGAAATACAAATTTATGAAGAAGCAGCATTTAAAAAAAATTACCAAAGATGCCCTGACTGATGTGGCTCAGGAGTTTGACAGATGGGCTGTGAACCAAAAGGTCATCAGTTTGGTTCCCAGTCAGGGCATACACCTAGGTTGTGGGCCAGGTCCTCAGTTGGAGGCATGTGAAAGATCAATGTTTCTCTTACACATTGATATTTCTCTCCCTCTCTTTCTCCCTACATTTCCCTTTTTCTAAAAATAATAATAGTGATAATTTTTTTTAAAGAATGATCAAAGATGCTGAGTTAACTGTGTAGCTGCAGAGCTGCATTTATTTGCAGATTATTCTGGACACATGACTTTTAATTTAGATCAAATGACTAGTTGCTCATTCTTTGATCCAAGGTTCCATGGACATGTGTGAACAGTGAAGCAATAGGTGTTAGTGAGTTGTCTCTCTTCAAAAAAGAGAAACAACTTCACAAGCAGTTGAGGACACTACTTGTTTAATCCATGTCCTCAGATAGTTCAAACAGAAAATCAGTTCAGTGAATCCCAAAAGTGTTTTTTTTTCCCTCACCCAAATCATAGAATCAAAAGAAAGCTCTCTCAGGAGTTCATTCAGCATACCTGAGACTAAGGCACTCAGTGGAGACCTTGAAGGCAGCACAGCTCTTTCCTCACACTGGTCACAGCCAATCTAACCTGCTCACAGAGTATGGTTTGGTGGGTGTAGAGGGTTATCTCATTTAACACTCAAATGCAACAATAATTCTTTATATTTTGGGGCCACAGACTTCTTTAGTAACTTACGAAATTCAATTTATAAATCTGCTCAGAAAAATTTCACAACCAATTTGGACAGTTTTACAGATTTTAAACTCATATATTAGAAAAATAAAATGAATAATAAGAAACAAAGTAAGCTGCAAAAAATCATACACACCTAGACATTATGTTAGAAAAATAAGCATAAACAGAAAATTATAATTCTCCTTTCCAAATGAGATGCATTCTCCCCCAATATCATTTAGAAGGAGAACCTGACTCAGAATGCACACTAATGTTAAGGATCATGAAAGATTTGGTGAATAGAAAGTTTACTCAACTGTGAGTCAGAGAGTACAGTTTTAATTTTTGTTCTAATGTAAATTCTGCTAATAACCACCTGCATGACTTTGGGCAAGGAACCTAATCCTTTAGGGACTATTCTTCTCCTTCTTCTCCTTCTTCTCTTCCCCCCACCCCTCCTCCTCCTCCTCCTTCTTCTTCTTTTATTTTTTATTGTATTTTTCCATTACCATTTATCCTTTTCATACCCTTTTTCACCTCCATCCACCACCCTCCCCCTGCTATCACCATACTGTTGTCTGTTGGGGACCACCCTGCTTGGTCTCAGGAAGCTGTAACCCCCCCATGACTTAGGCTGAGTGAAAGACCTCCAGACCAGAAGCCACTAAGGAGACAAAAGTTATTTCCCGGGCATGAACACTGCCTATTCTAATGCCTGGCTCCCTTGCATGATCGGCAGTCAAAGATGGTTAACAATGCTCTAAGAAAGAGAATGAATCTAAGACAGACGCGATCATGTGGGAATGCCCTAAGGGAAGAGACTCACAGGGCTGTGGAAATGAAGGGGTGATCGACATTAACCCCTGCCCCCTCAGCTTTGTCAAAGCCTGAGTCCTTGTGAGAAATCCAAGTCTCCTGGCTGCCTTTGTTTTCTCTGTTAACTCAGGCCTGCAGGGGTGGTATAGCCCAGACCAGAAATGGCGGACCACCGGGGTAATCAGGCCTAGAACATAGAATATGCAAGATCCTGTGAGATTTGTTTGCTGGAGGATGTTATTAAGTTGGAATTTAAAGGCACAGACAGGAAACCTTTGGAAATTGTAGTCCTTTCATATGTTAAAAACCCCAAACTTTGCCCAGAATCATAGTAGGGGTTCTGTCTGCACCTTTGTAAGTCATCTACTTCTTTTCATCTTTTCTGCCAGACTGTGAATCCACAAACTAAGTCTGTATTCTCAATAAAAATCTGCTTGGGAATAGACATGGTGTGCTCTCCACTAGAGAGAGTGGCCATGGTGCTCTCCACGAGAGAGTGGCCCTTCTATCCCTATTCCCCCACAGGACCTGGTTGTCTCTGTGTGTATTTTTTCTCATGTTTTGACGAGCATCCTCAGCAGAGATGGATATTGCTGGCTGGTATCTGCCTACATTTGTCCATGTCCATGAGTTCTTTTTTTTTTTTTTGCTCAATCCTTCCACCCTCTAACCACCCCCACACTAGAGCTGTCAGCCTGCCCTCTATGAGTTTGTCTCTATTCTGTTGAGTAATTCAGTTTGTTCATTAGATTACACATATGAGTAAAATAATATCGTATTTGTCTTTCTCTGACTGTTTACTTCACTTAGCATAATGTTCTTCGGGTCCATCTGTGATGTCACAAAGAGTAAAATTTTCTTCTTTTTTTGTGGCTAAGTAATATTCTGTTGTGTAAATGACCCATAGTTATTTTATCCACTCATCTACTGATGGACATTTGGGCTGCTTCCAAATCTTGGCTTATTGTAATTAATGCTGCAATGAACATAGGGTTCTTATGTTCTTTCAAATTACTAGTGTTTCAGATTTCTTCAGATAAATTCCCAGAAGTGGAATCATTGGGTCACAAGGCAGTTCCATTTTTAATTTTGGGGGTAATTCTACGCTGCTTTTCTATTTTTAAAATGAGTTGCACAAAAGGTGTTACAAAGCACCTTTGTTTTTCACATTCTTTGGTGTATAAACAGAAGAAAACATAAGAAAACTTAATTTTCCCTTTTTTGACTATAAATAGATTCAATAAGTTACCTTGAATATGGCAGAATTAGTATACAGACAACCTTATTTAACTTCTCTGTGCCTCAGCTGCCTCATATGTAAAGGAAATAATAGCGCCAACCTCATAAAATGATTCAACACATAAACAGCACATAGAACAATGCCTGGCACATTATAAGTGCTACATAAGTATTGACTGATGTCATCATAATCCAGGTTGTGGAACACCCACTCCCCCACGACTGTCCTCATCCTGCTCTTATCCACAGAAACGCTCCCAGAGCCCCAGCACAGCCACCACTTAGCACTCCCGCAGCTGCCGCCAGAGCCCCTTCCACTACAGCACCCCTCCCTTCCATGGAATCTGGTTTCACTGGTAGTGCAGATGCTGCTCGTATAGCTTCTGTGGCTGTGGTAGTCAAGGCAGTTGCCTGACAAAGCTCTCCTTCCCCTTCCGTCCCCAGCATCACTCATAACTCTCTCTGAAGATACTAATACCACAGTCATGCTGGACAGCACAGAATAAGGGAACCCCTTATTCTGTCTCACACTGGGGTCCAGGGAAAGTGAGGTGAGGGGAGGCAGGAAGTTGGGGGAAACTGTGCTAAAGGAAGAGAGTACGATGGTTTTAGCCAACCTCTATGATAGAGACATGTTTATTACCAGCAGCCTGAGTTTCATGTTATAATTCAGTCTCCACCAAGAATATCATTTTTTTTATTATAAATTACAAAGCTTTTTTGGCTAACTCAGAAACCTACTGTGTAGTATAGTCCATTAATCAGTGCCTTTATTTGCATGGTTTTGGTCAAAACTGATATCCTAATAGACATACCAATGTATTTTAACTAATACTATTACTCCACCCTATTAGGTATATGAAAATATTCAAGCAAGTAAGAGGCCTGATTTTAAGGAGTAAATAAATGTCTAAATTTATTTTGGACAGAATATAGTTTGTGGCTTCAAAAAATAAAAGTATCAAAATTCTTTACTCTGGGCTTCCTTAACCATTAAACATATGAAGTATAACTTAGACATAGGCAGACAAATTACATAACCCTAACTCAAGAAAAAAAATTATTTCAATTTTAAAAGACAATGATTGCTCTCCTAACTTGTAAGACTGGAACACACTATATCACCAAGTTAGAGTGCATTTGCACATATTTTTATTTTTAAAAAATATTTCTTAAAATACGAGATCATGTATTTGTTACATCATATTTAACTTTTTCATTAATATTAAAGTCATTTTAAACCCAATTAAAAAAATGGGCAAGGGACCTGAACAGACTCTTCTCCAAGGAGGACATACAGAGGCCTCAGAGACACATGAAAGGATGCTCAGCATCATTAGCCATCAGAGAGATGCAAATTAACACCACCGTGA